GCAATCAGCAAATCAAGAATGCTAGTTTTAAAGCCAATTACACATCTGAGTGAATCTGTCAGGTGCCATCACTGACTTAGGAGCAATGTGCTCACACTAAGCATGTGAACACACATGTGTGCAGTTATGTGCACACATACAGCCAGACAGGTCAAAAACACCTCTCTTATTTACCCATAATAAACTGCAGCCTGCCCAAGGGTACAAATCAGAATACGGTTAATCTACAAGTTGTAACAAGGGCAGCCCTGTTTACAACAGAAGAAATTAAAGATGTTTAGCCTTAGAGAAGATAAGACTCTGAGAAAAATGCTAGTTGCTTTTAAAAACTTGAAGATTTATTCCATAAGTAGATTAGACTAATTTGTATAGTTACTGAGAACAAAACTGCAAACAACAGAAGTGCTACTAGGATACACAACTCAATCCAGTTTACTAGGGTGTTCTGTTAGGGCTGAGCAAACTCTGAGATTTATATGCAGCTGGCCTGTGTCATCACTGTATTGGTTACTTATCACTCATTGCTGAGACAAAATACTCAATAATCAAAATTAAGGAAGGAAAGGTTTATTTAGCTCACAGTTTGTGGAGGTTTCAGTACATAATCAGCTAGATCCAAAGGCAGGATGGCATGGCACAGGGGTAAAACTTCCAAGCAGCAGAAGACAGCAAAAGCAGAAAGAGCAAAAGGGGAAGGGAGACAATCCTCTTTTCTCTCTTACATGGTATGCAGACTAACAGCCTACCCACCCCCACCATCCCAGGGTAGGTGCTGCCTTCCATCTCCAAGTCTTCTTGCACAGGATGTTTACAAAATAAGGACCTTGGCCCCTGCTGAGTCCTTTAATTAAACTTCTAAACTTTTCAAGTTAACACAATGTATCAGCCATTACAGTAGCAGACAGGCAAGCACATTTGCAATTAGGTTCCAGACCACAATCTGGCAAGCTGGGAAGGAAGCGCACAGCTGCAGACAGAAGGATCTCACAAGAGTATCCACCACCAAGGCCTGGTGGTGGTGCTCACCTGTATTCCCAGCACTCAGGAGGATTGCTGTGAATAAAAAGCCATCCTGGACTACAAAGTGAGCTCGAAGACAGCCTGAACTGCATGGTGAAACTGTCTCAAAAAGAAAAGAAAAGAATCCACCATCAAAGATGCTTAGTGTTGAGTGGGCTACATAGCCCCAGGCATAAGCTCAGAAGGGGATCATGATTTCAGGGATAGCGTAGTGTCTGCAGGTGGACCGCCATGTCCACAGGGTGCGTGTGTGTGTGTGTGTGTGTGTGTGTGTGTGTGTGTGTGTGTGTGTAATATGGAGAAATGAGTCAGGCACAGAGAAGAATGAAAGATGTAGTACCCAAAGGCCCAAGAAAATTTGGAGAGGAGCCCCTTTAGTAAAGGAAACAGGAGAGAGAAGAAAACCAGTCTCTACAAACTTTAAAGAAGGAACTATGAATCCTTTCATCCTTCCAGGTTATATATCCAGGAAAAACCCTGAAAGGTTTCAGCAGAAAACTTTCAGGATAGGGACTTAATAGCAGGCTGAAGTTCTCTCAGAGCACTGCTTGGGCAGGTGGAGGTGGAGAAAGGTCAGCAGCAGAGGACAAAATTGGGGATCAGAGCAGGGTGATTCTGGGCAACACTTCCCGGCTATCCTATGCCAGCCACTTCACTGAAAACCTCACAGAAGAAGCATTGGCTTCTTCACCCCTCTCCACTGAAGTGTAGGGAGGCTCATTCCAAGGTCACTCAGGGCAGAGCCAGAGTGTAAACATTGGGAATCCAGCCCTTGTGTTGCCCACTGACCCCCGCAGGGCTTTATCCAAAGACCTGCCCCCTACAGGAGTGAGAGGGGCCTCTGCAGAGAATTTCAGACCCTGCAGTCAGCTGGTGGAGTTTTCAAACCAGGAAACTTTCACTCTAAATTGTAACCTCATTTTGCCTGGGGATGTTGATCAGTTTGTAGAAATCATAACTGCACAACCATGTGAAGGGGCTGTCCATGTTCCCTGTGCCCCAGAGAGTCCAGCAAAGGCTGTACTACTATTCACCGGGAAAAGTCGCGAAGGGATTTATATAATCCCTTAGCGTATTTGCAAAATCAGGCAGGGACGAGTTTTAGCTGTTCACTGTTTTGTTACCCTTCATTTCTTTCCTCTCCTCACCTCCAAAGGTAGGCTCTGACCTAATTCTATGATCCCACCTATTTAGTAAACTCTGAACCATAATCATTTCCATCCTGAAATAAACCTGCTTTCACGATCCTTACACTGAGGAGCCTCAAGCATGCCAGCAACACCACCAAGGTGGCTCTCTCTCCTCCTGGAGGCCCTGTAAGCCTTCCTTACTTATCACTGTGAAGTAAAGAAACTTGAATTAAAGTGCTAGAGAAAGCACAACACACATTTATTGCTCATCTTGGAAAGATAACAGCAATGCGCTTCCAAAACAGTCTTTGATTAACATAATCTGGGTGTCATGAATATGGATATTGTCAATAGTCACCTAGAAGCATGTTTTCTTTTGTGCATTTTGTTGTCACCAGTAAATTTCCTATCAAGAAAGGAAATGCCTAAAGTCCCTGTTTGCATCAATAAAGCAAGAACTCAGAGGAACTGTATAAGGGGCATTAAGCCAGAAAGGAATTCTAACCTTTGTTCTAGTGAATTACCCACATTTTCACCACAGTTTCCAATTCTAGGGATATGAAATGTAAACAGAAGCTGTTGCCTCCCTAGTAAGCCTGGGTGTTTCTTCGTGTGACACTTTATGAGGGAGGGCTGGCCAGGGCAAGTGTCCTAGAGGGTTGTCTCCAGACACAGCAGGCTCTATAGACACTGCCTGGAGAATAGAGGGAACAACAGACCCTGCCACCAGCCCAGAAAGCAACAGGAAGCAGGACGCACCTGTTAAACTCGTGGTCCCCAGTGGAAATGGTCGTATCTGATTTTCTGCTCTTAGTTCTCATCTCGGCGTTCCAGCCCCTTAACAGAAGACTCCTGGACATCCAGCGCTCTGCAAGTAGATGCACAAAGCCAACTTCTGGCTCTGCCCCTGAAGACCTTGAGCAAGTGGCTAGACTTCTTCTCACCTCCACCACCTCCTCTGAAAAGGTGAATTTGTTGTGAAGATTAGATGAGTGGCCAAGACACACAAAGCCTCCCCTTCAGCCTGTGCCTGTCACACTCACTTCCAAAGATGCAACTTAACTAGTTACGTCTGCAGTGATGCTATTTCCAAACAAGGTTATCTTCTGAGGTTACTAGGGGTCAGGACTTCCACATGTGAATTTGGAGGCACACAGCTCAGCCCTAACATAATCCTCACCCCTCCTGAGTGACTTGTGTGCTGTGTTGTCTCTCGTTGCCGGACATCAGCACCAGGAGAGCAGGACCTTGGATGTCACCTTTACCACAGCAGCCCTGAAAGCTGGGCTGTTACAGAAAAGATTTTGGGAATATTTTCTTGAATGAACGAATCAAAACTAAATCAACAAGCCAACTTTCCATATAAAAAGAAAAAATATTGAAGTTATAAAAGTGAAGTGACCCTTCAATGATTAAAAACAATATTCCCATAACTATTATATAGGGAAACTCAAATATATTGTTAAGTAAAACAAGGAAATTTCAAATTACATAAATGGTAAATCTCCTCTGGTTAAAAAATATACATATATACATTCTAATAGACATGTGTACATGATTTTTAGAAAAGAGTCTGAAAGAATACAAATGAAATGGGTTGTTGCTAGGTAGTAATATTCTATTTATTCACGTGGTTTTTTATTATTTATATTGTCTAATTTTCTGAAACAGACATGCTAAGCTAAAATACTAAGAGACAAACTTTTCAGAATAAATCCTTTCCCTTGTGACATGATCCAGGTTCCCGCCAGCCCTCATCGGTGTAGTTCTGGGCCTGTTCTCTGCTTGGCACACAACAGATGCTCAGTAGATGGCTGGAGGGAACCCAAGAGATAGGTGCGCTCATTCCCCTATGGGATGCAGCCACGCAACTGCTCCAGCAGCCTCCGCCCAAAAATGTCATAGTCTCAAGCTTTGAAAAGAATAAGAAGGAGATACAGAGGGAAACAGAAGAGGTGGAGCAAGAGGGAGACAGGAGGGGAAGAGAACGAAGAGAAGGGAGAGGAATGCAGATACTCTAGGCTCCAGGAGGAAATAAAACCAGAATACTTGTCACCCAATCCCCGCGAACCAAACTGTCAGATTCCATCTGATTCTCCTAACTAGTTAGTGCTTGCAAAGCCTTCAGAAAGAGACAAGTGCCATATTAAGTGCTAAGTAGTATTAATTAATAATTTACTAATGTAAATTATGTAGGGGTACCTATTATACACATGAATGTCATAGGCTTATGAGGACAGTACTTGAAAAAAATGTTTGGCTATATTTCAAAACTTCTTTTTAGACCTAACAAAGCTTCTGGCTTCCCAAGAAAGTAGTCTCAAAATATTTTCATTTTCTAATTTTACAAACCTTGAGAGATCACTTAACTAACACCATAGTTCTCAACTGTATCCAACCCAACAAACTTTTTTATAGTGACTATTTTGTCAAGCCACTCTTCAGTATCCTGAAATGAAATTCATAGTTAACTTACTCATGTCCAACATAGTCCAGGATGTCATTTGGAAACTGTGTATTTGCAGTGATTTTTTGTACAGTGCAAGTGTCTGATAACTTCATTTGGACACACTGGGTACTTCCATCCTGGAATGTAAGCAATGAAATAGCTTAGCCTGGATCATAGAACACTAAGTGGTGGACCTGCCTCTTGAGAATGACTATGCAGCATGGTGCAGGCTTCACACTGCCATTTCAGACTGGAGGAGAAACACCAATTGGAAAAGGAACCTTCTCATATCATGAGCAGAAAAGATGGAGCTGTTTCTACCAGCTCAGGATGTTAACCTTCAAGTCATGTTTTGTTTCCCATTTGGTCTCATCTTCTCTTTTCTTGTGCTTTTCCTGCAGATATTCATGCCCAGGAGAAGGCCGCTGTGGGTCCCTCCGGACCTTTCCTAACAGGAGACCCCCATTCACTAGATGACTTCCAGAACTACCCACTAAGGCTTCCGGAGCCCTCTTCCATCAGCTGAGCTTCACACAAGCCACCACTCAAGATGAGTGGCTTCCTGGCCTCACTGGATCCCCGACGGGTACAGTGGGGGGCCGCCTGGTATGCCATGCACTCCAGGATCCTACGCACCAAACCAGTGGAGTCCATGCTGGAGGGCACTGGGGCCACCACGGCACATGGCACCAAACTGGCCCAGGTGCTCACCACTGTAGACCTCATATCTCTTGGAGTTGGCAGCTGTGTGGGCACTGGCATGTATGTGGTGTCTGGCCTGGTAGCCAAGGAAATGGCGGGGCCTGGTGTCATCGTGTCCTTCATCATCGCTGCAGTTGCATCTATTTTATCAGGTGAGTGTCTCAGGGAAGCGAAGTCCTGGGGAAGGGGGCCCACGGGCCTGGTTGCTGCCTGTCCAACTTTCCTAGACTCTTTAGTGATGGGATGTGTGAAGCAGCAGAGAAGTGGCTTCCTGTCCTCTCCTTGTGCCTTTGCTTCCAGGAAGATCAAGGACAGATTTTTTACTCGATTGTAGTAGCTTCCTTTTCTTTCATTTTTTTCAATACAAATATTTATTTGGTGCCCCAGATGTCTCCCAACTTCTCACTGCCTGTTAAATTTTAATGACTTCATTGAAAGAAGGTCAAACCCTCAGGGGGAAGGATAGATGATATGGTGAGGATACAAATAGTAAAGAAGAATAGGCAGAGTGACAAAATGACAAGTCAGTAATGCTGATGACATCAGGATTTGATAAGCTTCAGACTGGCACTGTGCCTCACAAGGAGATGGATGCCAAGCCAGGAGATTTAAAGACATTGTGAGAATCACAAATTGCCATCTGCCACGACTATCTCAGCAGGCTGATCATCCACAGGGGTAGATCGTTAGCGCCTTCTCTCCCCTTTAAAGAGTGTCATGAAACTCACTTTTTAAAAATAAGGTGCTAGGACTTACACACTGACAACCTGCAAAGTGGCTTTCCCATGGATTGAACCTCTTCCTGCTTTTCCCTTGAGCTGAGTCCTCAGCACTTGCCTGGAGGAGGAGGAGGAGGAGGAGGTAAACGGACGACTTTAACATGTAGGAAGAGAACACTCTGTTCCTTGATGGTTATGGTGCAAAAGCACGAGGTCTTGCTGAGTGTGAGGCTGGCAGATCACGATGATCCACTTGTGCTCTGGCAGTGGGTTTGGTTCCTAGAAATGTTTCAGGCAAATTCTATTTTATCAGGAACTCTGAATATGAACACTGTAGGTACCATCCCAAGCAAACCACTACTCTAATTCCATTCATCTGTAGTACGTAGTCTTCATTCATACATGATGCCAAGACAGTCTACAAACATGCAACCGAAAAGTATGCTGGTCCATAGTTGACATCTTCGTGTGTGCATGTATGCATATGTGTGCGTCTATGTGTGTGTGTGTGTGTGTGTGTGTGTGTGTGTGTGTGTGTGTGTGTAAGTGCGTGGTATTGGGAACTGAACCCAAAGCCTTCCACTGAGCTACATCTCCAACTGATTTTTTTGTTTGCTTGATTGGTTTTTTTGTTTTGTTTTTTGTTTTTTTTGAGACAAAGTGTTACTAAATTGTTAAGTTGCCCAGGTTGGACTCAAACTTACAATCCTCCTGTCTCAGCCTCCCAGAATGCTGAGATTACACATGTGTGCCACCATCCCCAGATGATATCATTTTAATTTGACAAAGAAAAGATCTATGATGTCTAGTCTTCTGTATTAGTTTTACCACTAACCTTTCTCCCAGAAGTCAACCTTTCATATGCATGAATAGTCTAATAATTGAGGTTTCTGCAGAATAAAAGATCTTTCTCCTTTATAGATGAAAATAAATGATTCACAATGAATGAACTTTGTATATATTTGAAATTCTATTAATGCGATTAGATTTCCAAGCTTTCTTGACATGGATTCATACATCTGAAAGTATTATCATAACCAAACACAGCAGCACATGCCTATACATAGTTTCAGCTACTTTGAACCCTGAGGCAGGAGAATTGCAATTTGAGGCTAGCCTGGCAACTCAGTGAGGCCTTGTTCCCCCAAAGAAAAGCAGTTAAAGAGCTAGGAGAATAATTTAGTGGTAGAACACTTGCATAGCGTGCATGAACCTCAGAGTTCAATCCACATTACTGCGAAAAGAAAAATTGTTATCATATAGAACAGATTAGACATGGTAGAATAAAAAGACAAAGACATGTAACTAGGGGACTCAGGACAAATGTCTTGCTCACTAAATGAAGACTGTACAATTTTCTCTAGACCCTATCCCATTTTTACTCAGTGCCCAGACCATGATGATTCCTGTGAATGAGCTACCAGGGTCTCAATCCCACAGGGCTATGAAACATCGAGAAAGGAGAATTAAGGTCTTGTTGCACCCCGGGAACCTGCTCTCTGCCTCAGTGCTCACAGGCACTGCAGGTGTAATTTTCCACTTCCCTCCGCTCACATGAGGTTGGCCAACCCAGTGTGGTACAGGAGCTCTTTCCTGCTCTACAATCAGTGCTGTCCCTCAAGTCAGCTATGACAGGACTAAACGCTCACTGTTGAAACTGTTTCTCAGGAAGCTGGCTGTTCACCAGCACATCACTAGCCCCGCTCTACCACAGTCCCTGGAGCTGCCAAGTAGCTGGTGCCTCCACCACTGCACCAGCCACCAGGAGAAAAAGGCTGTGCCTCTCTCCAAACAGGATCCACCCTCTGTACATATGGCCCCATCCATAACCCTGTTCTATGCTTCATGACTGACCCATCTATGTGCTGAGGACAGCCAGAATCCTCTTTGAGCCCCCAGCCAAGGCCAGGATTCATAAATAACCTGGGCCAAGTTGGCATGTTGAGAGCAGGTCTCTCCGTCCTGTGATCCTTGGACACTAAAGTTCCCTCTTCACCTAGTGTCTTCCTCCCACTGTTGTGTCACATCCGCAGACTGCCTCCCCATGACCAAACTTCCTGCTGCTTCTCCATAGCACAACAATCAAATTTCCCTACACTTTCACCCTTGTTGATGCATGGTCCTTTTCTCCCCCTGGCATTAATGAAAACCTGAAAGGTGGTCCAGTCTCCATAGCCGTGCAATTACATTTGGCAATCATTGCTGCTTGGTTGCAGGAAAAAGTAAGGAAAGGTTAGAATAGCTAGATTCAGCCTTTTCCAAGTAGAGGGACAAAAGAGCAATGAGGTTAAGGTATCGGCAAAACAAAGTAAACTGTGCTGAGCCGTATAATGTGGGCTGAGTAAGGACAGAAGTGAAAACACTGGAGTGTTAAGGATTCATGAAAAGTTGTAGGATTAGGAAAAACTGGAATGTTCAATGAGGTCAAGAAATCATCGGAATACAAATACTTTGAAAGTAAGATACAAGATTAGGAAGTAGTGTCAGAGAGCAATATGTTTGAATCCAGGCTCTGAAGTGACACAGTAAGTAATAAATTTTAGTTAGACTTGGAATCTGGCTCAGCCACTGACCTCTGTGAGACCTTAAGCAAGTTTCTAAACTTCTCTATGCCTGAGTTTCTCTACTTTGAAAGTTAAAATATCTACTTCATAGAGTTTTAGTGAAGACTAAATGGGATATAATAAAGTGCGAGGTCTAGCACATAGCACTAAAGAAGTGGTGATTATTTGTGCCAAATGTGAAGTGTTGGCTATACAGTATAATATTTAAAACTCATACTATCGCATCAAGGTTGTTTCTTAGTGTGTTTTCCACTGCTACAACAAAATACTCAGGTCTGGTAATGTATAAAGAAAAGAGATTTATTTAGCTCATAGATGCTGTGGTTCGAGGGCAAGTGCCAGCTCTCGTGTGCACCCTCTCCTTGCTGCATCACACGTGGCCAGTGGCATCATGGTGTGCACTGTGGTAGAGAAAGATCACATAGTGACCAAAAGCCAACAGTAGGAGGGGCCAGTCTTTCTTTTTGTAGCAGCTCACTCTCAAAGGCAGGGCCCCACCTTAGTTCTGTGGGAAAGAAGCTCCTCTGAAGACCTAACCACTCCCCACCGGGCCCTGACTCCTCAAGTCCACCGCCTCTGACAGCACCGCGCTGAGGACTAAGTCATTAACACACGTACCTGGGGCAAACCATATCCACACCACAGCAGTAGGTTTCGCTGTCTCCAAATGTATGTATGAGGCGAGTGAAGTGTTAATGATGGACCCTGGATGCAAGTCTGCTGCGCCAGCAATACGTACAGCCTGGCTATGAATTTTAGACACCCAAGAGCTTTTTTCTCTAGAATAATGGATTCTGGATGGAGTTTCTACATAAATCTTTTGCCCATTTCCAAATTGGGTTTTTTGTTTTCTTATTAACTTTCATTGCCATTTTTATTAGAACATAAGACATTTTTTAAAAATTATGTTTATTAGTACATTGGAGGTATACATAATGATCACATTCATCATAGGGAATTTCATTTTTTATTAATACATCTTTACAATGTATAAAGATTATATTTATTGTGGGCAGTTGTTATATGTACATAAGACATTATTAACTTTTAAAACTTCTTCATATATTCTGCATAACAGTTATTTATCAGGCATATACAAAGGCTAACAAACATACTGCACATTTAAATTTTTTAAATGCATGCAGTAAAAGGCACATGGCCATTAATCCCCCGCTACATACTTCTCTTTCCTTTGAGCACAGCCGCTTACTGAAGCAGTTCTGGGAGTCCTTTTTGTGAATGTATTTCAGAGTCAGAATCAGAAACATGGTCGATGTGGCTGCTGAGTGTCACCCAACAAAAAGGCAGACTCAGAAACACTGTGATGAGTCCGCCTCCCCTTCACTCACCAGATCTGTCCTGCACAACGTCAGCTCCTCCCCAAAGCCAAAGCAGGCATGAAAGGGGAAAGTTTTGAGTTGACTGGAGATATCAAGGCAGTAACACAACTAAAGAAACTCCCGACGGGACCTCCAGAACTGCTCAGCAAGGGGCGAGAATGACAGACCGAGTGTGTTCAAAACAAGGAGGAGTGCTCCGGAGGGATTGGGGGCAATTAAAGTTTTTACTTTAAACATTCACCATACTATTCCATTAGACCTCACATTGGTGCAAATGCTTCTTCTTATTTTGTGGCTTTTCTCTTCATTTGCGTTCATTTCTTTTTAAGAATATGAATGCACACACTCCACTGCCTGAATTTCTAATTGCTCGGGTGAAGGTATGCACGAGGACCTGAAATTTTCCTCAGGACTCCGGGGATGTCCAATAGAGCTAGAGATGAGACCTACTGTGTGACAGGCCCTGGCACCTACCCTCTGCTGCAGCATGACCCACACAGACAGGACACAGATGTGGGAATCTATTTGG